GGATCTTGTTTACCCTCGTGAAGATGATATTTGAAATGGAAACAATCAGCCAATCAGAAACGAGATCGGCCGTTTGCGGTTTGAAGGCCGCGCGCATCTGTCAGTTTTCGGCCGTTGGTCTCCGAGAGCGGATGTGAGCAGTGTCGGTGCCGCGCGGCGTGGCCGTTGGTGATTGTGCTTGTGTGTTGTTCATCGCCTATAGAGCCTCTGTGGACATTTTATTGTAAGTACCGATGTGCTAGAGCATTGCGTGCCGTTGAGTGGTGCTAATTTGACCTGGTTAACAGGACCCCGTGCACGGCCACGTGGCCTAGTGTTGTGAGTACGTAGGTACATTAATTTTGTTGTGATGCTACAAGTTTATGCATTTTGTTGGTGACTTTGAAAAAGCCTTGCACTGTAGTGATCCAGCCTCATTATCTCACGCAGACGGGCGACCACCCAGGAACGCCGTCGCTCACTTCAAATATTGTGCGCTCTGCCTAATCCAATATGAGGGCGCTGAATGTCTTGTATTCATATTCAAATTGCATTCAAGTTGTATCGTGGTGTTTATTTACCGCTTGTGCATTGCTGAACGCTTTGTATAAATTTGTATGACTAAGTGAAGAGTCTCACAATGTTCATGGTTGGTGTGCCCCTCGTATTGTTTGTACGGAAGCCAAATATACCTACATTGTTGCTCTTGAAGCTTTTTTTTTTAGTTGGTGAGCTCCGGTTAACAGAAGCTTCGTGAAGCTTCTGAAGGAAGCGTCTGTGGGTCTGTTACCATCCTCTGGGGGGTTTACACTAAAGGAAAGAGTAAACATTACCATGTGACAAAGGGTAGGCCATAAGAATATACTCTCTGTAGGAGGGTAAAGCACAGAGTAGATGATGCGTTACTCCCTAAAAAAGGGTTCCGTTAAAGATTTACCCTTTCAAAGAGTGTAACCCAAAAAATGTTACACTCTAGACAAGAGTAAATCAAATGAGTTTACCATTCAGAAGATGGTAAAAAACGTCTGTGTGTCATGTTACCCCTCCCTGGCGAGTTTACTCTTCATGAAAGAGTAAAATTTACCATCTGGAAGGTGGTAAAAAACGTCTGTGTGTCAAGCTACCATGCTATGGCGGGTTTACCCTTCAGGAAATGGTAAAAAAGTTTTCAGTGTACCGTGACACGGGATCGGCGGGGACCGAGGGAGCAGCAGCAAGGCGCTCCTTGTCACCGCTGTCGGAGCCGCCGACATTCGCCGAGCAGGTGCTGGGCGAGAAATCGCCGCTGCTTCCAGTGCGGTGAGATGGGACACGTTCGAGATGCATGCCGCGCAGCGGGTCGCGGCTGGGTGGATCAAGTGGAGGACGATGAGTTCGGCGCTCCGGCATCACCAGCGGAGGGAGCGGACCCCGCAGACGACGCTGCTGAAGAGGTCTACACGCTGTTCTACCAGTCACCGCAGTCACCGCAGTCAAAAAAGAGCCGCCCGCCCCTGTACGTGGATATCAAACTAAACGGCCGTGCAGTGCGGGCGGAGGTGGATACAGGCGCCGCGGTCTCTGTGTGTTCGGAGGAACAGTTTAACAGGCTGTTCCCAAAGGGGAGTCCGGCGATAGCTCCTTCGCGGCGTAAATTGTGCACCTATGGTGGTCAGCGGTTGGCCCTACGGGGCGAGGCGATAGTGTGCGTGCAATATGGTTCTGTTTCGGTGAACCTACCGCTGATCGTGACGGAAGGCACCGGCCCGGTGCTCTTCGGACGTGACTGGTTGGCGTACTTCAAGTTGGACTGGAATGCTATCTGCCGCATGGCAGACGTGTCTCCACCCCAGCCGACGGGTAAGTCCGTGATAGCGGACCCTGCGTTAGCCCCGGTGTTGACCGAGTATGCAGAACTGTTTGATGACGAGTTGGGGTGTTTCAAGGGCGAGAAAGTGACCATCGCGGTTGACCCAGACGCGACACCACGCTTTTGCAAAGCGCGCCCTGTTCCCCTGGCGTATCGGGCGCGAGTTGACGCTGAGCTGGATAGACAGTTAAAGCTAGGTTTGTGGGAAGAGGTCAAAGACAGTAAATGGGCGGCGCCAATGGTGGTGGTGCCCAAGGGGGACGGTACGTTGCGACTCTGCGGTGACTACAGGCTAACCATAAACCAGGCTGCTAAAGTGCATCAGTATCCACTGCCGCGTGTGGAAGAACTCCTCGTAAAATTAACGGGTTGTCAGATCTTCTCGAAGGTTGACTTAAAGAGTGCCTACAATCAGCTAGTGCTGGACGACAAATCGAGAGAGTATTTAACTCTGAATACTCCTCGCGGCCTGGTCAGACCCACTCGGTTGAGTTTTGGGTACGCGAGTGCCCCGTCTCTCTTTCAACGCACGCTTGACCAGGTGCTGAGCGGCTTACCTGGGGTGGCAGTGTTTCTCGATGATGTGATCATCGCGGCGCCGTCTCGGGAGGAGCATGAGTCTCGGTTACGGGAGGTTCTCGGCCGTCTGGCCGCGGCTGGATTTCGGGTAAATAAGGCAAAGTGTAGTTTCGGGGTAAGCTCCGTTACTTACCTGGGTTACACCGTGAGTGGAGACGGTGTTCACACGACGGAGCAGAAAGTCACCGCGATACGAGCGGCGCCTGAGCCGCGAAATGTACAGGAACTGCAGGCCTGGTTAGGGCTAATAAACTATTACAGTAAATTTCTTCGAAATTTATCGACTGTTCTGGCTCCCCTTTATCGTCTTTTACGTAAGGGCGAGTCGTGGGTGTGGGGAAATGCCGAGTCCGAGGCATTTGGGAGGGCCAAAGCGCTTCTGTTGAAGTCGCCGGTCCTGGCTCACTTTGACTCGCAGTTACCCGTGATACTGGCTTGTGACGCTAGCCCGTCAGGCATCGGTGTCGTGCTGAGTCAGCGCACGCCACAAGGAGAGCGCCCTGTAGCCTTTTATTCAAGGTCTCTGAATCCCACCGAGAGGAGATATAGTCAGACGGACAGGGAGGCATTGGCTGTCGTGAACGGCGTGAAAAAATTTAACTACTATTTGGCAGGGCGAGATTTTGTGATCCGATCTGATCATAAGCCTCTACTGGGTCTTTTGGGTGAGCGAAAACAGATTCCGGTGATGGCCTCGCCGAGAATGGTAAGGTGGGCATTAATGCTCAGTGGGTACTCGTACAGACTAGAATACACGCCTGCTTCGAAGCAGACCCACTGTGACGGATTGAGCCGTTTGCCGCTGCCGTGCAGTGCAGTGACATCACCGACGCCAGCAGAATTCGTTAATCTGTTGGAGTTTCTGGACGGGTGCCCCGTAAAGTCGGAGCAGATACGGGGCTGGACGGCCCGTGACCCGGTGCTGGCCCATGTACTGCAGTACACACAGCAGGGTTGGCCGGCCGGTGGGGAACTGCCGCATGACTTTCGCCCCTTCCAGCAGAGAGTCGGGGAACTTAGCTGTCAGGGCGGTTGTCTGATGTGGGGAAGCCGCATGGTGATTCCTACACAGGGCCGGGAGAAGGTACTGCGCATGCTGCATGCAGGCCATCAGGGGGAGTCACGGACAAAAGCATTCGCGCGGTCCTATGTGTGGTGGCCTCACATGGACGAGGATATTTCCCAGATGGTGAGAAAGTGTCAGCATTGCAATGAGACTCGGAACCAGGTTTCCAATACTCCGTTGCACCCGTGGGAATGGCCCAGGGGCCCTTACGATCGCGTGCACATCGATTACTGTGGTCCGATAGACGGTCACATGTTTTTTATCATTGTAGATGCATATTCAAAATGGGTGGATGTGTACCCAACCAAAGGGTCCACAACAGCAGTGACAATTGAGAAATTAAGAGCATCGTTCGCCACATGGGGCTTACCGCGGGTGCTGTGCTCGGATAATGCCAGTTCATTTGTCTGCCCAGCATTCCAGAGTTTTTGCGTGTCACTGGGAATTGAGCATGTGACGTCACCTCCGTTCTCCCCAAAGAGCAATGGTTTGGCCGAGCGTTATGTGCAGACTTTTAAAAATAGTTATCGCTCGTTACAGGGCCCGGTTGGATACAGGGTGGCACAGTTCCTGTACCAGTACAGGAACACGCCTCATTCGACCACTGGTCGATCACCGGCGGAGTTATTTATCGGCCGACCAGTGCGGACTCACATGGATCTGCTGAGGCCGGATCTGGCTAGTCAGGTAGAGACCCGTCAGAGAGCTCAGAAACAGTACGCGGACAGAGGTGTCAGGTCCATGTCGGTACAAAAAGGAGACGCCGTGTGGGTCACATCGGTAGACAGACTCCAGGGGGTAAATGGTAGGAACTGGCTTCCTGGTATTGTGCTAGAAGTGTGTAGTGTGAAAGTGACTGTCATGTTATCGGATGGTAGAGTGATTTGTCGGCATGTCGATCACGTCAGAAGGCGTGCAACGGAGACTCCTCCGGAGCGTGCCGCGCCACCTGATTATCGAGAGGGGCTGGTGTGTGAGGGTGCTGTACGTCCGGCGGAGCGGCCGGCGTTAGATAGGGGAGAGCGGTCTGGGAACGAGGGTAGAGGTCAGTTGGAGCGGTCCGCGTCGGAGGGTGTGAGGCGTGCTGCGGAGAACCGTATTCTCAGGCCACGGCCGACGGCGAAGCCGGACCGTTTTGCTGCGGTATGGAGAAATACCGGTACCGTGACTTAAGTGTTACGTGTTGGTGTGTTGTGTTTGGAAGAGCGTTTGTGTTCGGGTGGTTTGTGACTGTGGTGGAGGTGTTAGGATGTGAGATGACGTCACCGGTGACGTCATATGATGACCTATGACGTCACCGGTGCGGGACGGACGGGGATTGGTCGCCTGCGGCTGTGCGGTGACCGGCCGAGATGGTCTGGGCCAAATACACCAGTTTGGATCGAGCCAGCGTGTGTGGCGGACGTCACTTCACGTTATAACAACAACAAACACAACCGACAATGGCCACAACACCAACCACGGTCACAGTGGCGTGGCGAACGGGCACCGCCACATTTCCAAAAGCCTGCGTGAGCTTTACCCCCTCTACTTCGATCGAGTCGTCAGTTTGGTCACTTTTCGCTTCGCGGATGGCTTCTCGATCTTGTGCGACGAAGACCGCTTCTTTCCCTTCTCTTCGCGTTTCTTGGAGAGTTTCCTGTCCTGCTGTGACGACGGAGACTTCTTCCCTTTCTCTGCGCGCTTCGCCGCCTCCAGCTCGAGCCTCTGCAGAGAAGACTCTGACGTCAAGACCTCGCCGCTCTTGTTTTGAACTCGGCTGCGGCGTTTCGTCTTGTTGGCCAGGGCCGCCTTCGTCTCACTTGACTGTTCCGGACTGAGAACACTGAGCACAGCATCCTGGAGCGCCTCATCAGGTGACGGGATGTCATCACGTGACGTGCTCCCGGGTCCCACCATCCGGCTGCGAACCTTCTCAGCGTCGACTGGGAACAGACCCGAGCCGCGGAATCCGGCCACGGCGTGGACCGGATCCAGTTCCTTCCACAGCTGGGAGATGAGAGTCGGGAACACCGACTTGTCGACAGCGACGAGTCGTGACTCACGCTGCCACCGCTTCAGGATTTGCGCCCAGGCGACCTTGACCGGCTTGAACACGGCGACGTCGAGAGGCTGGATGGCGTGACTGGTGTGTGGCGGAAGACATACCACCGTGATGTTGTTGTCCTTCGCAAGCGCTGCTGTCCGATACGTCATGTGGGATCCGTGACCGTCATAGACGAGCACTGTGGGCTGACCATCATGCTTCTTGGTGATCTCTGGGACGAAGATGGTCTGGAACCAGCTCTCGAATATGTTGCCCTCCATCCAGCCTGACGGTGTCGTCCCATAGGCCGTTCCTGGCGGTCCGCCACGCATCCACGAGTCAAAGGGCTCACGTTTGGCCTTGTAGACGACGAAGGGTGGGAAGTAGTTTCCAGTGGCGTTCACGCAGAAGAGGACGCTGTATGTCGCCTTACCACAGCTGGCCGTCTTCAGGTAGGCGTCACGGGACTTGCTGGGGACGATGACCCTTGTCGAGCGCGGATCGGTCGAGAGTCCCGTCTCATCGAGGTTGTAGATGTTGTCCGGCTTGTCCTCGAGTCCCAGGTCGACGAGCACCCCGTTGTACATGGAGAAGAAGGCGCCAACCACTTCCTCTGTCAGAGACTTGGCACGAGTGATGGTGAGGATCTCCGGTTTGCGCGACGCGAGGACACCGGCGTGACGAGCCTTGAAACGTGACAGCCAGAAGCGGGTGGGCCTGTTGTCCTTCCACTGCGTCTCTCTGCCGAGGTTGTTCAGGAACTGCTGGACCAGATCGCAGATGTCACTGGTGTCCAGTGGAAATGCTTGGCGGGCGAGGTAAGCGAGGATTTCCACCAGCTTGTCCTCTTCGGTCCTCGTCAGCACCGTCGGTCGCCCAGAGCCAGTGGAGCCGGTGACGTTGATGCCGAAGATGTGACGGCGGAGCGTCTCGTACGGCACGCCGGTGTCCTTGGCTGCCTTGTAGACGGTGAATCCAACCGCGACGAGCTTCTTCGCTCTGCCCAGATCTTCCTCCGTGTATTTCGGCATGACGATTGGTGCCACCTGACAAAAAAGAGGTCATTGTTTAATAATTCGTGCCAGGAATGTGCGCGTTTACACCAGTGCTTTTGAATCAATGACGACGATACTCGGCAGGCAGAGGCCCGCAGCTCAGGTCGGCAGGTCCTTCAGCAGGTCCCGTATGACCAAACATTACCCAATATATCAAGAGTTCTGAGGGCATACTAAATTGCGAACCGCTACAAACCAGAATGATTACCTGATTTTTTTTTTGAAGTTGAAATCAGATTGTAAGCAATACACAACAAATTATCACTGAAGGAGAATCCAAGACTAATGCCATTCAAAACTCACCAGTTTTTGCCGTATGCCAGCAGGACACGCGCACGCGACGACGATCAGTGCAAAAAGGACGCGAAAAGCTCAGCCGACCCTCGGAGTCACCTCTGTCGCCGGAAACGCCTCCTGATTGGTCGAGCCGGTGCTGGTCACGTGACAGGTCACAGTGCCATTTCCGGTGACTCCCGATTGGTGGAGAGGGCACTGGTGGTCGCAGATCACATGACGTCACATCCGGTTGTACGGTATTTCGCCAAAATGGCCAGGAGTAGATAAAGCAATTAATGTCACCGCTTAACTATAAAAAATAAAATAATAATAAAAAATAAAGGAAAATGAAAAAGAAAAAAAGATCGGTGACTGAAGCTCAAGCAAATGAGAATCGACCGAAACGAGTTCCAACGCTTACCGTATCGCGCTTACAAATACGCTGCAGCGTCAGTCATTGTGGCCATCGAAGATGGCCGGTAGATCGTAATCATAACCAAAATAATCCCGGAAATGTCTTTGGGGGCGATATTTAGCAGGCGGTGGAGTAGCCATGCTCAAATTCACACTTTTCATACTATACTCATTTTTTGCAACACTTTGTGGAACTATACTCATTTTATAGAAATTTACAAATGCTAAAATTTTTGCATTACGCTTTCGAATTTTCGATTATTTTTTACGGCTGCCAGCAAGCTCAGTGCATGAGACAAACAGCTGAAAAGGTAAAATTATTTCAGCAGTGCACATATTTTCACCAGGCTTCACTTTTTAGCATGTACTTTTTCTGACATTTTTGAAAAAAAAAACATTCAATCATTTTTCAGACCAAAGTCGCTTGACATTTGGCGATGGACGTATTTGCAACTGTTGCAGTAGACCTTCGGACGCACTGTGTATTTTTTTCTTATTTTTGTTCAAAATAACTTTGGCGTAATGCACATTTTCCAAAATTATACTCATTTTTGCGTATACTCATTTTAGGCTCACTACCCTAGAGTAGGAGCAGCTTCGGAGGCTGCAGGATTCTGCACCCTTTTAGCCTGTCTTTTCTCAAAATTAGCTTTTCGTTGAGCCCAGGTGAGATCCCGGGAGATGTACACTGTATCATACTGGGTCCCTTTCAGAGTTCTGGCACTGTCAAGGACATGCTTTCTCAGCTCGTCAGATGTAATCTTTGCTCTGAACATGCCAGTGTGGTCCTTGATTGAGGAGACTTCCGTAAGGGTAATCTCCCGACCAAACTTGGAGGACAGTTCTTTGAACAAACCGATGAGTTCTGCTGTTGACTTGGATGACTGGCTCTTAATGATGATTGACTGTTTGCGTTTTTCTCTTTCCCTCATCTCTCTCACCTCTTCTGCAATGACATCACGGAGAGCAGGCTGCTCTGATGGTTTGGGGACGACAGGCTGAGGTGCAAAGCCAGGCTCAGGACTTGGTTGGCATTCTGCACAGAAGGGGACTTCATGGCTTGTGTGAGGTGTTTGAACTGCAAATTACGGCGCGGAAGTGCGCCAGCTCGGAAAGTCGCCGGCCGTGACCGGCCTTCTGATACAAACTCTTAACTCGGTACCTACTTCCAGGCCGCCGGCTCCAGGGACCGGCCCAGTGCCGTCGCCAGGCTCATCAGTGGAATAGCGCGCTAGGATGGATGTTATGAATGTAAAGTCAACGCCTCCGCGCGGGCCTGCGTTAGACCATCGATAATGTCCTGTTCGCTCCTCGTGCATATCTGTGTTTGTTTGGGTGCGTGTGAAGTGCAGATTGTGTGGGTGGGTGTATCACAGATAGCGTCTGATTGTCGCCGGTGTAGCAAGGATTGGCCTTCCGAATTATCCCGGCTGATTGTCGTTGCAATAAACGTCGAATGCTGGTGTCACACGCCGCGCGCTCTTTTGTCCCCTTCCATCGACCCTGCGGCGCCACCACCCACTCCGCCGTTGGAGGACATCAGCTCCTGAATAGGGAGGGGGAGTTACAGACATCAGCAGCACCAGCTTCTCACTCTTTCGTTCTAATACTTGTTCTAATACTCCCAACACCCGTTGTTGTCCAGGAGTTTAGTTGGAATGGGGGGGGGTGTTCACTGTTCAGCAGCCCTCCCCCTAGCAGGCGTGGGAATCGTGTGGAGCCCCAGTGTAGAGTGGGATAGCCTTCTCCGCTGGATTATGATCAGGCTTTGCGTCGAATAACACTGATCCATTGAAAATGTTCCGATTTACTTGCCCAAGCACATTTTTATTCAGAAAGAAAACATACATATTGATTGCTGATGGATAAAAGATTATGGCAGCAGGTAACATCCAGGCGGTGTGCCATCTCCTGTAGGGCCAGCAGTGTGGTGCGTCCCGAATGGGGTCGCCAAAGACGCAGCTCGCCGCCCAGACAGCCGGAGACCAGCACACCGGCCGAACCGCCGAACGACAGGCTCGAAACTGACTCCTCGTAGCCATGCAGCGTGCTGCCGGCGAGAGGTCACGGGAAGGTCAGCTTATAATGTACACACAGACAAGACAAAGCACACAGAGCAGAGCTAACAGAGCAGAGCAGTGTACAGCAGAGCTGACAGAGCAGAGCAAGGCGGGGCAGAGCAGAGCTGACTTATAGAGCTGACAGGAGCTGACAGGAGGGCAGGGCAGAGGCGACTCCAGGTACCGTTAAAGGGACACTCCCACCTTAACATTAGTTTTGAGTTGAGATAGCCAAATTGGTGGCCATGGTCTGCAAATACCGGTTTGGGCACTCACAACATCGAAAAATGCTTTAATTCGAAGATATGGAATTTCAAACTTGCAGTTTTCGGATTGTAAGGGGCTAATGCATTGGAATGCCCCCTTAGAATTTGTGACGTCAGCGGAGATCTAACGATTTTTAAATCTTAGACTAAAACCATCGTTAACACGTGGTGGTATACGCTGCTTTGCGCGCAACGTCTGCCGCACTTTAAGGCTGCCAAATTATTGCTTCTAAATAAAGTCGCTAGTAACAGGGGAGATCCCAAAAGGTAAACAAAAGTAAAAGCCTAATATCTTGAAAACCAATGAATATTTTTCGGTGAAATTTGGTAGATATTCGTTTTCGCTCTTTCTGAACCAAGGGACATCACTTTCATGCCAATTCATTAACTTTTTTGAAGGTGGGAGGGTCCCTTTAACAGTGCACTGTGGGGTTTTTATCGATCCTAGCACGAATTTATTTATATCGCATCCTCCGCTACCTTAACTAATTTTATTTCACCTTCAAATGGTTAGGCTTAGGGTGTATGATCCCTGACAACATGGTTGGCTCTCCTGCTTGACCCCATCCCTCCCCACCCCCTCCCACGGACTTAGCACTGAAGCGTTTTCGGCTAGCAATGCATCGTGGGCGTGGAAGCGTTAAAAAAGTAGAACGAAACTACAATCGTTTTAGAAGTAGATATTTGTTCATGTCTACCCCAATCACCAAAAGGCATTTCGGGCTTCACCTTTGCACTTTGTTAGTCCTTGCACTCAGGGTCGGATCCAGAAAATCTCCAAGGGAGGGGCCATTGGAAACCAGGAGGCCCCCATAATCCCACCTGTTGGAGGCCCCATCTTCCCACTTGTTGGGCCCCCCCCCAAAAAAAAACTGCGTCTATTGAGCTTATCTAGCTGTTCAGGCAACATCTCAACATGAATAAACGAATTATGAAATAAATGAACGAATAAAGTACCGTTACCAGTAAACGAGCAGTTTTTTTTAATGCAATACCGTCGACAGTCAGATGGGTACACCACATCCACGGTAAGTAGCACAAAGACTGAGGCTGTAGGTGCTTGCTTACTGTTTGCTTTTGGAATTCGTATTTCGTATTTCGTATTTAGAATCACGACATTAATCAAACTAGGGGAAAGTGGGGTAAGACGGGCACCTTAACTTTGGAGCCATTTTTCGGCCGGTTAGAAACATCATAGAAACGGGAAACTGGGTGAAAACCTTTTTCAGACATTTTACTTTCATTTGCCAGAAGATGAGACTTAGACCTGATTCAACAAATAAACTGCAGCTATTTTTGCAAAACCTTGCAAAAACCCGTCTTACCCCACCCCATGGGGTAAGACGGTCACATGGGTAGGGCAAGACGGCCAGCTTCTTTCACCGATCAGCGCAGCTCGCAACAAATGCCCGAGATTAGCCGCATTTATACAGTCGCTCGTTGGTCTCAAGTGCTTCGGAAATGGCAGTATACGAGATTCGTGCAGAAGGCGTATGCTCCTATATAGGCCCTAGTTCAGAAGCCATGTAGAACCGTTTTTCACATTCATTATTCGAGAATAAACTGTGCCGAAGGAATATTGCTAACATGTCTGTGAGTATCGGAATCGAACATATTCTTATTAGAAATGCTTCTTTTTTCCTACAGCAACAAAAATATTTTCACCATTACAGACCCATTGGGTTCATAGTTGCCCGTCTTACCCCAAACTCAATGTCAGAAGTTCAGCACGATTTTTCGCTGTGGACAATTTGATGCAGACAAAGCAAATCCGCCGTAAATGAACACTGTTGGCATATGAGTGTACCACAAGTGATTGCGAGTTTTTAACTCTATAGTGCTGTACACAAAAGCTTGCACAATACATTATGGATGTTTTCAATGAAATGAGTGTTTTAAAGAAATCAAAATAAAAGATTATCGACTGAACACAAATTCACCAGACTTGAATGGTGGTGTGTAGTGGGAAAGGCAATTCTGGTCCTAACTTTTCTTGCTCGTAGCGCTATTGGTTTGGTCTGCAGAAGGGGTGCCCGTCTTACCTACCCTGACCGTCTTACCCCACTTTCCCCTACTAATATATCATTTGTTATGAATACTGTTACACTACGTTTAGCACCTAACTCAGGTGGTATTTCGATTGTCAGTTTTAATTAAGTTCGTTCTACAATGAATGTTTTTTATTCTCCATCTGTCCAGGCTCATTGCCAGGCCAATCGACTTGGCTGAAAGAACAGTAGCTCTCATATTAGTTCACATATGTATTGTACAGACATTAATTACTGCAGCTGGGCTCTTGCCTGCTGATGACTAGCAAGAAATAGACAACAAATGAATTATTTCGAATCTCACAGGACAATCACCTATGCATGGCCTATCACCCCTCATACACCTATCCTCGTTTCACGACAACCGTCCTCAAAGCCGAAGTGCTTTGGCAGGCGAATTGGCAGGCACACAGCACGCAAGGTGTGAGTAATCATGAGCGGACTCATCGCTGAGGGTTATCAGCTGCTAAGTAACTAAGGGTAGCATGGCACCACGCCAAACATCTCTGAAAAACGACAAATCCACGATATAAAAATACATACACCGTATGGTGCCTATCAAAAGTTTCTCCTGAGTTCCTATAGGCTAAGAACATATGTCCTGCGAGTGCGGTATCGTATCGGCGACCGGAGTTCGCCGTTCGGTGCTAACTCACTTCATAACGCTCACAAACGATCAACTGCGACTGAGATGGCTGACACGACTGATACTACATTGTAAGGCGAAGTCGCTTGGCCGAAGAAGTCGCAAACTGCGTCACAATGTCTGAGACGGCCGGTACAAGGTCCGGGTGCACCCGCATCAGTGCCAGTCCCGTCAGTCGCTCCTCCGTCATCGTGCTTCTCAGCCACGTTTTCAAGGAGCGAAGCGTGGAGAAGGACCTCTCCGCCTCTGCGGAGGTCACAGGCAGCGTGACCAGGATTGTGATCATCTTGGAGATGATTGGGAACGGATCTGTGGAGCCAAGAGCACTCAGCAGAGTGGTGGGCTTCTCGCCCGTTTCCTGACGCCACATGTGCTGCCACGTCCTCACCTCGCTCTCCGCCTCTGCTACTGAGCAATCCAACAGGTCCTGGTAGGTCTGGACGAACTCAGCCACCCAATACGCGTCACCCTCCTCTGAACTAGGGACCAGACGAATGGCCGAGGCCGCTTTCTGTACGTGCTTTGAGAATCGTCTTTCCAACTGTTCCACGATTTCGTCCAGGAGTGGTATGTATGATGCAACACGGTAAAACTCCTCGGGAGTTTGTAGCGGCGCGCCCTGTGGACGTTTTTTGTGCGTGCTCACCCTTACTTCGATAGCATGTCGCGTCATAACTGACGTAGCCCTATCGAATACTTCTCGGAAGGCTCCGTCCACGTTTGCGCGCTTCTGCAGCTCTGAGCGAGCCACTTCGATCAGGTGGGTAGCCTGTGCCAGATCCTGACCTCTGCCCTGCATCTTAACTGAAAGAGGCCGCATGACCGACATGACATCAGCGGTAGCGAACAGAGTCACAACAAACTCCACGCTCGTGACAGCAGTCAACAGTGCTGCCGACCCACGTCGAGTTTCCGGGTCGTCCCAGTCTGACATGGCAGCAAGGGCCTCGACTACGGCATCGTACAGCTCGATGAACGACATCAGAGCATCATGTCGCTCGACCCATCGTGTTTCACACAGCTTTACCAGTCTAGATCTGTTGCCTTTTGTTTCACAAAATTTCGCGGCAGCTTTCAGAGCGAATGACCGTTTTGGAGTGTCGAAGAAGTTTGCGACTTCTTTTACAGTGCCATACATGTTCCTAACTGTTCCCACCCTGCTGGCGGAGACCACGGCTAGATTTAGACTGTGGGAGGCACAGTGGGTATAGGCGGCCAGAGGGTGTTTTTCCTGCACCACAGCAGAAGCGCCTATGGTTTGTGACGACATACTCGCGGCGCCGTCATAGCCCTGACCCACACACCTGTCCATGCTGAGCCCCACTTCCTCACAAGTTTTGAGAATCAAGTTTCCCACAACATGCCCGGACAACTTCGGCTCCGTCAGCGCAGACCGAAAATCTACGGCACCCTGTAGCTGTTTTTCCAAGTTTTCTCCGTGTGCAGCCTCTAGCGCGTCAACAAAGGCCACGAAATCCTCCCTTACCCTGCCCTCGTGGACGTAGCGCACACACAGACACATTTGCTCTTTTGAAGACACATCCCTCGTTTCATCTACCATGATAGCAAAAGCGGCACTGGCGTTGGCACGTTTTACGATTTCCTGTTGTATCATGCTGCCGATGGTGGACACTAGGTTGTTTTGAACAGTTTTACTCATGTAAGTGGCGTTACCGGGAGATGATTTCAGAAAGTCTCGAAGACTCTCATCTCCAGCCTCGGCTCTGAATCGAATCAAGCCTCGGAACACACCATCCCTGACATCATCATCTCCTGGGTCTATGCGGCCGTCATCCCTGTGACCTCGCAGAGGAAGGCCGTTTCGTCCACAGAATATGACAGTTTTTGCTACGGATGATACAGCGGCCCTGTTCTTCTGCACTTCTACAAACCTCTGCGAGTTTACCTGGTTGTCAACTGATCGGCTTGGCTCCTCGACAGAGCGAACAAACAGCTGAGACGCTTCTACACACCCCTGGTGGTAGCCTAGCCGCTGGTGCCGCGTCAGCACACCGTCCGTCTCTCCCTTTAGTTTGGCAAATGCCGTCAGCGGAGCCGCAAGCAGCACACCAGGTTTCTGACCACATTTGCTACTACCCACAGATTCGGAACGATGGAAGAGTACACAATACCGGCAGTAGAACCCCCCTGCTTTTTTAGAATACGCCAGCCAGGGGAACTCGTCTATATGTTTCTCGGTTAGGTGCCTTTTTATCTCTTTCCCCTGTTTGGTATGGACCGAAAAGGGCGGCTTCCAGCCAGCCGGCGGCCTCCACTTGGTTTTACAGATGTACACACGATCCTCGTTTGTGCATGACTCGGAGTCGGCATAGTTGAGGATGTCATAAGATGGTGTCAGCAAGGGACGACTGGATGGCTCTGCAGTGTCACCACCAGCAGCACAGGCTGGCATAGGACTGACTTGGACAGGAAGAGTAGCTGTGCCGGTCGCATCGTCGCTGAAGGGTGGTGACAGGTCTGGGCCGGAGGACGCGCCGCCAGCAGGGTCTGGGCCGGAGGACGCGCCGTCAGCAGGGTCGGCGTCGGATGACGCACCGCCAGCAGGCTCTGGACCGGAGGACGCACCGCCAGCAGGATCGGCATCGGAGGACGCACCGCCAGCAGGGTCTGGGCCGGAGGACGCACCGCCAGCAGGCTCTGGACCGGAGGACTGGGCGGAGGAAGCGCGGCCAACAGGGTCGGCGTCGGAGGACTGGACAGTCGTTCTGAGGATACAGGAACGACTTGGTCACAAGGACGCATTTAGCGGATATTGTAGAGACTCGGAGACATATGACGATTGGGGAGTGAGAAGGGATATTTGACACGAGCCATATTGTGCGAGCAAGTCAGCCAAAGCTCCATTTGACATCTGAGACGTAGACCTACCTGGCAGTGAACTCTGGGGCGAATGACCGGATAGAGGACGCGCCGCCAGCAGGGTCTGGGCCGGAGGACGCGTCGCCAGCAGGGTCTGGCCCGGAGGACGCGCCGCCAGCAGGGTCGGCGTCGGAGGACGCGCCGCCAGCAGGGTCTGGGCCGGAGGACGCACCGCCAGCAGGCTCTGGACCGGAGGACTGGACGGAGGACGTACCGCCAGCAGGGTCGGCGTCGGAGGACTGGACAGTCGTTCTGAAGATACAGGGACGACTTGGTTACAAGGACGAATTTAGCGGGATATTGTAAAGACTCAGAGACATATGACCATTGGGGAGTGAGTCTGAGAAGGGATATTTGACACGAGCCATATTGTGCGAGCAAGTCAGCCAAAGTTCCATTTGACATCTGAGACGTAGACCTACCTGGCAGTGAAGAACTCTGGGGCGGATGACCGGATAGAGGACGCGCCGCCAGCAGGGTCTGGGCCGGAGGACGCACCGCCAGCAGGGTCTGGGTCGCAGGACGCGCCGCCAGCAGGGTCTGGGCCGGAGGACGCACCGCCAGCAGGCTCTGGACCGGAGGACTGGACGGAGGCAGCGCGGCCAGCAGGGTCGGCGTCGGAGGACTGGACAGTCGTTCTGAGGATACAGGAACGACTTGGTCACAAGGACGCATTTAGCGGATATTGTAGAGACTCGGAGACATATGACGATTGGGGAGTGAGAAGGGATATTTGACACGAGCCATATTGTGCGAGCAAGTCAGCCAAAGCTCCATTTGACATCTGAGACGTAGACCTACCTGGCAGTGAACTCTGGGGCGAATGACCGGATAGAGGACGCGCCGCCAGCAGGGTCTGGGCCGGAGGACGCGTCGCCAGCAGGGTCTGGCCCGGAGGACGCGCCGCCAGCAGGGTCGGCGTCGGAGGACGCGCCGCCAGCAGGGTCTGGGCCGGAGGACGCACCGCCAGCAGGCCCTGGACCGGAGGACTGGACGGAGGACGTACCGCCAGCAGGGTCGGCGTCGGAGGACTGGACAGTCGTTCTGAAGATACAGGGACGACTTGGTTACAAGGACGAATTTAGCGGGATATTGTAAAGACTCAGTGACATATGACGATTGGGGAGTGAGTCTGAGAAGGGATATTTGACACGAGCCATATTGTGCGAGCAAGTCAGCCAAAGCTCCATTTGACATCTGAGACGTAGACCTACCTGGCAGTGAAGAACTCTGGGGCGAATGACCGGATAGAGGACGCACCGCCAGCAGGGTCTGAACCGGAGGACGCGCCGCCAGCAGGGTCTGGGCCGGAGGACGCGCCGCCAGCAGGGTCGGCGTCGGAGGACGCGCCGCCAGCAGGGTCTGGGCCGGAGGACGCACCGCCAGCAGGCTCTTGACCGGAGGACTGGACGGAGGACGTACCGCCAGCAGGGTCGGCGTCGGAGGACTGGACAGTCGTTCTGAAGATACAGGGACGACTTGGTTACAAGGACGAATTTAGCGGGATATTGTAAAGACTTAGAGACATATGACCATTGGGGAGTGAGTCTGAGAAGGGATATTTGACACGAGCCATATTGTGCGAGCAAGTCAGCCAAAGCTCCATTTGACATCTGAGACGTAGACCTACCTGGCAGTGAACTCTGGGGCGAATGACCGGATAGAGGACGCGCCGCCAGCAGCAGAGGTGCAAAAACCTGCCAACTCGCCAACCAGAGTATGTGCCAGAGATAGCACTTTTAGCCCATGAAACGTGACAGGTTACGGTCAAGTAGACACCAATGAGAGTGTCAGTTTCTATATTCCATCTAAATGCGAATAGTAAGATAGCTAGCTACTACCTACGGGGCTCCACTTTTACTCATTTGTCATTTTGCAGTAAGTTTACTTTTTGCAGTAAATTAGCTGTGGATTATAATCGTAACGGCTGCGTCATAACTGTACGCATTTACGGGGGGCTGCAAAAAGCCGGCGGATTCTGTCACGCGGCGGCTGTCTCCATTGTAAATCCCCATTGCCTGGCCGTGGAGTTGGCGAGAGGCCGGCGGATTGTCACGCCGGCTGTGACAGTTTGTGACAGTGTGTTTTGAGTGTCTTAGCCGGGCTAGGGAGGTGAGGTGAGGCAGTATGGGATCCAACAGCATTACTACGGCTGCGCGGGCAAGATGTGCGGGCTGTTTGTGTGACCCCAGCACAAGATGTATGCTGTGGATAGTATTATTTATAGTTCAATCAGTCTTGAAGCATGTGGATGTAAGATGAAGACGAGCAATAGCCAAAAACAGAGCCTTGAGGTGAGATTCAGCTAAAACTGTCAGCATACAAAAACTCAGTCAGAAAATTTGGCATAAGTTGAAGTGTAGGTATATTGATATGGGAATCCAATTTTGGCTGTCTACCCTGCTGTCCAAATTGAAATAGATGAGTATTCAATTAGGATGCATTCACATTTTTATTTGAATCATTTCAATGAAATATTTTAAATTAAGGCTGGCATCACCATTTTTGTATGCAAAACCTTGGGAGGAAAATTAATAAAATGTTGGGCAGCTCAAATGCTGCCCCTCCATTGACCTTCAGGTTCAGGTTATGTTTGCATAATAACCTGCTTTTGTTTGTGCCGCAGCCTACACGTTTTACATAATCCAAGTTTTTCTAATGATTTTCAGTACCTATCCAAAATGTACTTACCTTCTTTCAACTAGGCCATAGCTTTGACCATACCTGGCTTCTAGTTAGAAACTTGACAATGTTTTTGGTTTGCAGCATATAGGCACTTACCCATTTTCATGCTTTCTATTGTGTAGGGTGCCGTTGTGTACCAGGCTGTGTGTCATTTCTGCCTCTAAACCAACTTAATTTTATTTATCTCAAGTGAATTATCATAATAGTTAGTCTTATAAAAGTACTAACTATAGTTAATGCACACCTGCTTACTGCATTTGCATAATCAGAGTCCGAAGGCAGGTGTTTTAAGGGTTTCAATATTTGAATATTGTTGAGAAAAGAACAGTAGAAATAAATGTCAGGTCTCAAGGTGCTCAATAAGAAGAGTGCCTAATCATTGGAACCTGTCCTAAAATATGTTAAAATTCAAGAAATGATAAAAATTTCAGAGATCAGGGAAAAGTAACATCCAGTCATCTCAACGTAAACTCCGTCAGCTGACATCACCTGGTGGATGGAAGCTGCGTGACAGATTCCGTGTGCCACTGGCAAAGTATGTGACAGCTGAAGAGGTTTTTGCACCTCTGGCCAGCAGGGTCTTGGCCGGAGGACGCGCCTCCTGCAGGATCTGGGCCGGAGGACGCACCGCCAGCAGGGTCGGCGACGGAGGACGCACCACTAGCAGGGTTGGCGTCGGAGGACTGTACGGAGGACTCGCCGCCAGCAGGGTCTGGACCGGAGGACTGGACGGAGGACTCGCCGCCAGCAGGGTCAGCGTCGGAGGACGCACCGCCAGCAGGCTCTGGACCGGAGGACTCGCCGCCAGCAGGGTCGGCGTCGAAGGACCGGACAGTCGTTCTGAGGATACAGGGACGACTTAATCACAAGGACGCATTTAGCGGAATATTGTACAGACTCAGAGACATATGACGATTGGGGAGTGAGAAGTGATGTTTGACACGAGCCATATTGTGCGAGCACTATTTGATATTTAAGGAAGGACATATAATGACTCGGAACCAATAGGAAGGGACCTGACTTCGTTATTCTCTACATAGGTTTGCTTCGTTACACACCGGTCACTTCTTGCCAGCATAGGTATGCACATGGGCGTAGGAACGGCTGGAACATTGTGGGTGCATGGGTGCAGAAATCCAGCCATGGTCGGTGAAGCGGGGGGGGGGGGGTAGGGAGCGATACCCGAGCGAAGGATCGTTCGTTACGAGCTTTGAGGGTGTACCATGTCGAAAAAAGGTACCGACCGATAAGTGCATTTGCGAAGCATTGACCCTCGCATGTGTAGGGGGTCGTTTTTTGTAGGGGGTGTAGTTTTACACCTACTCTGAAAATTTCATGACCCTGACCTAAAAGACCTTTGACCTGTGACCTGATTCTCGAGACCATGTTCGGCCGGAATCGCGATTTGGCGTATGTCAGCTCACATTATCTGCGCGTTTCCAGTCTTTTTGTGATTGTAGACGTCCAAACGTGTGAAATGATGTTCTTCCCATGCATCACGGTGGGTGTGAAGGTCACCTGAAGGTCAGGTCAGGTCATTGATCTTTGATGACCTCGGTTCACTTTTTCGAGTTTTACATGTTACTACGGTAGTTTATCGGGCTGATTTAGAATTTAGCATCCATTTGAACGTTTACGAAGTAGTTTTAGTGCCTTCGTAACATGCTACGACGCCGTCAGTGGTAGTTGACACTTACTATGGATAGCCGGTAGGACGCCTAATGGTTGACCTGACCTGACCTGACCCGATCTAGCCTAAACGCATGAAGAAATCATCTGTGATCAAAACTAACATTGTAGTTGCCCTCTAGCTATAGCAGCAGTCTAGCGCCGGCAGTCACGCTATAGCAGCGGTTTAGCGTTCGATCGTCGCGACATCTATATTAGTTAAGCGCCGATAGTCACGCTATAGCAGCAGTTTGGCGTTCGATCGTCGCGACATCTATATTGACCGAGTGTGATTACGCGTGGGTATTTACAAGTACTCGAATGTGGCAGGTACCTACTTTAAATACTCGAATACCATTCTGATGAATATTTCCACGGTTTTCTTTGAATGCTATGAACAATATTTTGTACAACGTTTTCCGAAACAAATAATTCTGCGTTTTGTGTTTCACGTTTTCGAATCTAAGAACCTAAAACATTGTGACGTGTCAGCATTTTCGGTATGATAGTGGTGGGCACTGTCGTGTTCCTGCCACGCCCGTTTTGTGCGGCCGACATTCTTGTTCAGGATTGTTTCTGAGGATGGTTTGATTTCCCTGGCGCTAATGAGTGAGTTTAGGAAGTGAAATCTTGCATAACTCTATGTGGATTGAATCAGATAAATGCCCGTTGTTGATGGTGATATGAAACTAGCAGATTTACCGTGATCTCTGTCTGATATCAGCACTTGAACTCTGCGCTGGATTTGTATTTGTTTGCCGCATTTCATGTATGTAGAGCTAAAGGTCCGCGATAAGGCCTAGAAACTAGAAAGTATTTTGAGAATGTTATTTTGTTTAAGGCTGTGAATGTTTACTTTAATGAAAAACAATATCAAATTCTTATCTGTATTCAATGTAAACGCGTTTCGATTATTTCTTTATCAATACATTGATACAATACAGATAATGAAAACACACGATTCAATGTGGGTGAACGCGAGCGATGAGATTGATATTTCAAACATTATGACCTATTCACGTGGCAAAACTTTCTGTTCCCTCCATAAAATTCCCTCCATAGAAAGTTTTGCCACGTGAATAGGTCATAATGTTTGAAATATCAATCTCATCGCTCGCGTTCACCCACATTGAATCGTGTGTTTTCATTATCTGTATTGTATCAATGTATTGATAAAGAAATAATCGAAACGCGTTTACATTGAATACAGATAAGAATTTGATATTGTTTTTCATTAAAGTAAACATTTGTCAAAATGAACAATATACAAAGGCTGTGAATATCCAAGCCAAAGGTGTTTCAGGTTTGTCCGTGTTTGAGTACCAAACTGATAACTTTGTTTCTGCAGGAATAATATGAAGAGACTGTTTCGACCGTGTGTCAGAGGGAATCAGCCCCCCAGTTAGTCCGGCATGAGGTGCACACAGTCAGTAAGTTTAACCGATTGAACTGGTCGTTTTCAGTCTTATGATAGTATGTGCCTAGTATGTGCTACTTGCAGTCGAAATGTGTCAAGGACGAACGAGTATGGGTCATGTCAAGGTCTAATCGTCAGATCGAGTGTGGCTCAGTTGTTGTGTTAGGGAAGAGCTCACTGCTGCTATATGTGACGATTGTTCTGACGTGTTGCAGAAACGGATCTATAGACAAGATGAATACAAGGTCCTGTGTTTGACTACACCTGTTTTGGGACGGAGACATGCCGGAACTAACAAACATCAGATATTCGTGATCAGCACCCCGAAAAACCCGATAACAGCTTCACTTTACGCAGTTCTAGCAGGTCCCGATTTTCCCGACTTTTGGAATATTGACCTGACCTGGAAGGTCAACCAATGACCTAAGACCTTAAAATTGGGTATCATCGGCTTCTTCTCGTCACTGGCAACACCCTCGTTTTTTTCCGCGAAGCTCTAGCCCGATCAGGGGCCGAACGGCAGGGGGTCTGACCGACCTCCCCCCCCCCTCCCCCTACACATTAGAAGCTGGAAGACGCCGCACACATGCGAGGGTTAATATTGTCATTTTGTCAATATTGACTACCGCAAAAAGTAAAAGCGCCCAACTTAGCCATTTTCGAAGATATCGGGCTAAAAATTTTGACAGTGGGTCTACAGTAGACCATCACAGTAGAAAATGCTTCGAAAGATGGATAGTAGGCAACATATCCTGAATTTGCCGTGCTGCATGGGAACTTTGGGAAGTAGTGTTGATGAGAAAAGGGGTTTTTGGTTCAGATTATTGTGGGTGCAGAATACATTGTCTGCACCCACTGGAGAAATATTGTGGGTGCAGCTGCACCCTTGCACCCATGGTTCCTACGCTTATATGCAGCAGATAGTCTCCCCTACACAGCAGAAACCTTAATTGAATTCAGGAAGAAGACAACTAGGTATTGCAACGATGACAGTTACCAAGTCAGTCAAAGTTAAATTTCGCATCTGAGACGTAGACCTACTTGGCAGTGAAGAAGTCGGAGACCTTCGGAATCTTTGATAGAAAAGCCGATTTCTCTTTCTGCCGCTTTCTCTTCTGAGCACCAGAAAGATGTACACGAGGCATACCTACCGTCTAATGTGTAGCTACAAGGGAATAAGAGGGCTTTCTGAAAAAAAAAAATATTGTCAGGTCAGAATGTACTTAACTATTCTTAAAGGGACCCTCCCACTTTCGAAAATGTTGTTAAACCATTTGAATTGTGCCCGACTTTATAGATTGGATAACCAGGAACACGGTTCTTGGCCCAGCGGCCTACATTTCAAACTGTAGATAGAGTTTTCATGGTTCAGAGGAAGTTGAAATTTCTCCTATTGACTTAAAATTGGTCGTGAGATTGACCTGACCTCAGGTAGGTCAAAGAGATAATAAGTTCGAGATACATGTTTTGTAGATAGGTACTATCATCCTCACTAACTCCTGAAAGTTTCATATCGATCGCTCAACAGTTGTAGCTTTGGTGCAAGTTCAAACTTATTGTGAGGTTGGGTCACTCAAACGTCTTACCTGGTGACCTGACCTTAGGTCACATAGAGTCAAAATTTTCACACGCTGTGCGCAAAAGCTTGGAGAACAAGTAGGTATACAAAATTTGGTGACGCTGCACGCCGCCGTTTTCCCGCTATCTGCGAAAAACATGGCTGGAGAAACCAGGGAGGACAGGAGGGTACCTTCCCCTCCGGGCCCAATGATTTCAATTTCCTGGAGGGGACCTGGAGAGACCCAACTTATAATGAAATGGGCCCTTTTCTTCTGAAATGTGTGATTTAGTGTGATTTTTTAAAAGGTAGTATGATTTTTGGGCCCTTTCAGACACTAGGGCCCTTTTTCTCGAGGGCCCCAAAAGCCGCCTCCCCCCCCCCAGCTCTGCAATCGTTTCGCCGAAAAACCTGGGGGGCGTAAAACCGCCCCCCGGCCCGGCGCGGGTTAAATACAGGTTTATGGGCGTTGTATGGACAGAATGACTTGGTAGTGACATCCCCCAGGCAAAACTTTTCGCCGCCAGTGTTAGCATTGGCATATCAATATTCGGCGGTACTGCAGGTCCCATTGCCGCATCCAAAAGTGAATCCTATTGGTACCCCAGGGTAATCCACCAAAAAAGGTATCCCTAATTGATGAAGTCAACTGTTCCCATCACCCCAGCACAAGGCCATATAGGCATATATATGTAAACACCCAAGCCACAGTTACCTAGGTAGTCACCAGCACTTGCTACCCATCACCCCCGGACGGCGGGGAGCAAGCTACCACCGCCCTTGCGAGACTAGCGCCGCCATGCGCCAAGAAGTGGAAACACCACGTGACTGAGGCCACGTGAGGGCAGGGTCACGTGATGGAGGGGCGGAGCATAGTAGTTTTTGCGCCCGACACTAACTGAAATGCGGCGCTGTGATTGGGCGCTTTAGCATGAATGAAGCCCCGGCGCCAGAATCAGCCGTTCGCCTTATATGGAAGGTAAGCCTGTGCGTTTCACTGTTCTGTGTTGGTTTGAGAGCCACGGCACCATACGAATTGTGAGCCCCTTTGAACGGGTCACCGCCCGAGGCACTGAGGCGACGGCAGTGCCGGGCATAGCCTAGCCTGGTGAGAGAGGTGGGCCAGGGAAAGTGCGATCGAGCAGCCACACTGAGACGTGGATTGGTATTATCTAACCGCGACAAACGATGTCAGCAGCCTCTTCTCGTTGACACGAAAAGTTTGACAGACAACGTGGGCAGTGCCCAATCAAAAGCTACTAAACGATTCAGTTAAGTAGGTAGTTGGCGAGATAACCAGACCCAATAAAAAGTTTTTAATTCGATTTTTTGACAAATGACATACATGCCCGCTGTGATGGACCAAAGAAGGAGCTGAACAGTTCATACAACTTCTAAAAAGCTCAACGGTAAAAATTTAAAAGTCAAATGTCAAAATTCAGCCCGCATGTTTAAACTCGGGTCCGGCACTGGCAGAAAGCTTATATTGCCAAGCTTGCAATTCCACTACGTTGTAATGTAACCAATGTGAGAGCCATGGGCGTCGAAACCGGGGGGGACGGGGGGGACGCGTCCCCCCCAGTCGAGGAATCCGGGGGGGACGTCCCCCGCAAAAATATCCTCATGAATGATTAAAAAAGTGATCAACGAAATTGGTGTATTGTCGTTTTGGGATGAAATTGCGGATACCTACTCGTATACAAATTGAATCATGCGAATTGCTGACACTGCACTTGCTTGCAGGGCTGCGGAGTAGATTGATTTTGGTAGCTCTGACTCCGGCTTTTAAAAAATCGCTCGGAGTCCCCACCCCATCTCCGATCACGGCATCCCTCGGCCCGCATCGGAGTGAAAAACATGTGATGTGATGCTTTTGTCTCTTTGAACATTTCTTGGCACGTTAAAAGATAACATTACCTACGAGGTGCAGCTCTGGACTGTCCGTCCCAGGTCCTCGATAGGGAGCCAAAGCTCCAGTTGTAGGGGCGACCATATTCAACAAGGGCTGAAGATCTGTCCCAAAGTCTCAAGCTTGCAAAGACCACACATTTTATGTAGGATATTCGTAATAGTCAAGACCTTCAGCTCACTCTCAAACGGCCCTCTTCCCGTTCAAGGCCATCCGACAGCAGAAGGTCTCACCATGTCCTTTGAACGCTTGATGCTTGAGGGTGAGAGGACCTCGTCCTGGTCTGAGAGAGCCCAGGAGGATGTAATACTCAGTATGGTCCTACATTGGTCTTACCATGACCCGGCCTTCAATCACCACAGCCAACAGAATCTCCAGCTTTTATCCGACCCATCCTCGGGGATGACGTTGACTCTGACTTCAGAGTTGAAGTCTGGTACGACTTTGGTGACTCCAACTCCGTATCCGACCAAAACCGTCGACTACGACCGAAGTCGACTCCGACCCCGCGGTCCTGCAGCTACACTGCACAGAGTTTCAAACTTCTTGGAAATAAGCTGTACCTATGGTTGACAGAGGACCACACGATTTTTTAGAGGCAGGGCTGCTGGACTTGGTGACCAGATCCTAACTGTCCTGGTATCAAACTTATTACTCGGGATGCAAAATTTATGCGTTTTGGGACTGTTTTGCCAAGAGTTTTTGCCAATTTTCGCGGCGCTTCGCGCCGCCAATTCATGCACAGATAGAAAAGAGTGTGACTAATAACGCCTCCACGCGAGAACAGAGAACATGTGTATTGTGTATGCGTTATAAGTAGTGCATAGGCCTGAAATTGTACGGTAACTAGCTTTTGGGTTTTTAGTCAGCCAATCCGTCCCCCCCCAGTCAAAAATCCGTGGCGACGCCCCTGGTGAGAGCAACAACTGAAAGCCTCGAGCCCCGTTGGGGGGAGGGGGGCGCGAAAGAGCCCCATCTCCTTTTCAGTCGATATCAGAATTGATCGGTCTTCAAACTACTGAGCAAAAACGAGGTGATTAGTAGCAAGTGCTGGTGACTGTACCTACCTCAGTTTCACCTTGTCAATTCCATTCTGGGAAAACGTGTTTTGATTGTGGATAACGGGCACCTATAGTTCATTCGTCATCTAAGCAATAGGTGCAATTTCAGGGAATTGTTATTAAAGGGACCCTCCCACCTTCAAAAAAGTTAATGAATTGGCATGAAAGTGATGTCGCTCGGTTCAGAAAGAGCAAAAACGAATATCTACCAAATTTCATCGAAAAATATTCACCGGTTTTCAAGATATTAGACTTTTACTTTTGTTTACTTTTTGGGATCTCCGCTGTTCCTAGCGACTTTATTTGAAAAAGCGGCATTTGTTGCGCGCAAAGCAGCATATACCACCACGTGCTGCAAAACGTTTTAGTCAAACATTTAACGGACGTTCGAAAGCCTGATGACGTCATCAGATTCCCGTAATGGTTAAGAGATAGGGACCACGCTGGTCCCACCCTGCAAGTAAAGGGAAGAAATTTCTTGAACACCATAAAGCTGCGGGGGTTGCGACCAGGATAAATGGTGGTTTCTGAGCCTGGCCGCAAACTTGGCTATCTCAACTCAAAACTAATGTTAAAGGAAAAGGGCCACCTTTAACATGGGGATTGAAACTGAGATAGCCATCTTGTAGCCCGTGTCCGAAAACCTGTCTGTCTACCTCCTTACGGCCGATTTCGGCCTCCATTCGTAGTTATCGGCAATTTTAAAAGAAAGTACGCCAGGAATGCGTCCT